AGTAGATGAAGAACATACAGAGCTTCTGAATTCCTGGTGGGCTATATTTTGGGTTTCAAAATAAATGAATGAATTTATTTAATAAATAAATTAGGGCTGTGCTTGAGGGAAAGGTGATTTCCTTGGTAAAATTTTGTAACAATGTTAAAGCAATATTAGCCCCGATATTGGAAAGCATTATTGATTATACTATTCAAATACATGGTTCCTTTTTTCTGCTGTACATCAACACTATATGAGGTACCGATTTCTCATAATTGTGAGTAGACCCCTGTTTCAGCATTTACAATGAATACCTTTTATTAAAGAGATCACAAGAAGTAATAAAGAACTTACATGCAATATTCTGTACTGATGTTGTGGTGGCTTTCTTAGAATATACCATACTAGTAATCTTTACTGAGCTACTGGAGTTTCAAAATATTTCCATTTTAGAGCTAATTTTCAGTTTGTTCCTAAGTATCATTCTTGATACAACCTATCATTAATTCGTGTTATATGATCCTCCAACTACTGGACATATATAGGAGATACTGCATGCTTTGGCGCAGTATTGTAATTAGTGCTGTGACCATTCGAAATCATAGTTATTCACTACTAAATCTAAAAATCAAAGTCTCTCATCACTGTGGTTTATCATCCTCCAAACAAGCTTTTATGGGTTTCTTAAGATACACACTGTACATGCTAGATTCTCCATAAAATGAAATCAGAATGTTTAGCTTTCATTATTATAGAATAGTTTTAGATTTAGAATTAGATTTGAGAAACTCCAGTCTGGGATGGGAAGCTGCTGGTGATGTTGAGGCTCCTTTAAAGTTGTTTGGTTATCCATCTGTTTGCCTGCTGCTTACCCATCAGTTCTTTCAGAGGACCCCTGAAGCTTTCAGATGTGCAAATAGCACATGTGGACAAGCATCCACATACATAGAAGAACACCAGATGGCAGTAATAACTGATTCTGCTATATGTCAGTGTAAATAGGCGGCAATGTTGAAGATGGAGGACTTACGGGGAGGATTTAAAGTCTGTGAAACTGTGATCAACACCTGTAGACTTTGATTTCATTTAACTAGTGGATGCTACAATGCTGATGTGATTGCAGGAAGATTCCAGATCTTATTATATTGGTTGTTAAAATCATAGAATCATAGAGCTGAAAGAGACCTCAGGAGGTCATCAAGTCCAGCCCCCTGCCCAAAGCAGGACCAATCCCAACTAAATCAACCCAGCCAGGGCTTTGTCAAGCTGACATTTAAAAACCTCTAGGATTGGAGATTCCACCACCTCCGTAGGTAACCCATTCCAGTACTTCACCACCCTTCTAGTGAAATAGTTTTTCTTAATATCCAATGTAGACCTCTCCCACTGTAACTTGAGATAATTGCTCCTTGTTCTGCCATCCGTCACTACTATGAACAGCCTGTCTCCATCCTCTTTGGAACCTCCCTTCAGGAAGTTGAAGGCTGCTATCAAATCCCCCCTCACTCTTCTCTTCTGCAGACTAAACTAATCCAAATCCTTCAGTCTCTCCTCATAGGTCATGCGCTCCAGCCCCTAATCATTTTGATCACCCTCCGCTGGACCCTCTCCAAAGTGTCCACATCCTTTCTATAGTGGGGGGCACAGAACTGGACACCATACTCCAGATGTGGCCTTACCAGAGCTGAATAAAGGAGCATAATCATTTATCTGGATCTGCTGGCAATGTTCCTCCTAATGCATCCTAATATGCCATTAGCCCTCTAATGTACAAGGGCACACTGTTGACTCATATCCAGTTTCTCATCCACTGTAATCCCCAAGTTCTTTTCTGCAGAACTGCTAATTAACCATTCAGTCCCCAGCCTATAACTATACTTGGGATTCTTCCGTCCCAAGTGCAGGACTCTCCACTTGTCTTTGTTGAACCTCATCAGATTTCTTTTGGCCCAATCCTCTAATCTGTCCAGTTCACTCTGGATCCTATCCCTGCCCTCCAGCATATCTACCTCTCCCCCTAGCTTAGTGCCATCTGCGAACTTGCTGAGAGCGCAATCCATCCCCCCATCCAGGTCATTAATAAAGATGTTGAACAAAACCAGTCCTAGAACAGATCCTTGGGGCACTCTGCTAGAAACCGACCGCCAACCTGACATTGAGCCGTTGATCACTACCTGTTCGGCCCAAAAGTCTAGCCAGCTTTCTATCCATCTTACAGTCCATTTATCCAATCCATATTCACTTAACTTGCAGACAAGAATAATGTGGGAGACCGTATCAAAAGCTTTGCTAAAGTCAAGGTATATCATATCCACTGACTTTCCCATGTCCAAGGAAGCAGTTACCTCATCATAGAAGCTATCAGATTGGTCAGGCATGACTTGCCCTTGGTGAATCCATGTTGACTATTCCTGATCACTTTCCCCTCTTCCAAGTGCTTCAAAATGGATTCCTTGAGGATCCCTCCATGATTTTTCCGGGGACTGAGGTAAGGCTGACAGGTTTGTAGATCCCTGGATTGTCCTTCTTCCCTTTTTTAAAGATGGGCACTACATTTGCCTTTTTCCAATCATCTGGGATCTCTCCTGATCTGCACGAGTTTTCAAAGATAATGGCCAAAGGCACTGCAGTGACATTTGCCAACTCCCTCAGTACCCTCAGATGCATTAAATCCGGACCCATGGATTTGTGTATGTTGAGCTTTTCTAAATGGTTTCTAACTTGTTCTTTCCCCACCAAAGGCAGTCCACCTTCCAATATGGCGTTACCTAGGGCATTTGTCTGGGAGCTGAGCTTGTCCGTGAATACAGAGGCAAAGAAAGCATTAAGTACTTCAGCTTTTCCCACATCTTTCACTAGGTTACCTCCCTCATCCAGTAAGGGCCCCACGCCCTCTCTGATCACCCTTTTATTGCTAACTTGCCTGTAGAAACCTTTCTTATCCTTCACGTCCCTTGCTAGCTCCAATTCCAATTGCACTTTCGCCTTCCTGATAAGTCCCCTGCGTTCTCGAGCAATATATTTATACTCCTCCCTAGTCATCTGTCCAAGTTTCCACTTCTTGTAAGCTTTCTTTTTGTGTTTAAGCTCACCAAGGATTTCCCTGATAAGCTAATCTGGTCACCTACCATATTTGCTTTTCTTGCTGCGCATTGGTATGATTTTTTTGGTGTGGTGCCTTTAATAAGGCTTCTCTAAAATACTGCCAGCTCTCCTGGACTCCTTTCCCCTTCATGTAAGCATCCCAGGGAATCCTGCCCATCAGTTCTCTGAGGGAGTCAAAGTCTGCTCTTCTGAAGTCCTGGAGGCAACTAATACTAATAAAGGTGTTTGTTCCTTTGCTACTGCTAGAGAAGTGGGAAATGGGAAATGTATTTAGAGTAATTCAGGGTCCACTGGCCATGCTCATTCAGTTTACTGGGAACAATAAAGAACCCAGGACTCTGTAAAGCATGCTCTTTCTAGCAAGCCTTCTCTTCATAAAGATTTTAGAAGCCCCTCTGTGAATTAGCTTGAGTCTCCACAGAATACTTTGAATTTCTCTATCGCAATTCTCTCTATTTCCCCATAGAGTGAATAATTCCCATTTAAGCATATGGCTGTTACTTATACGATGGAGAGAAAAATGGGGTAGAAATCAGGGAACTAGAAGTGTAAAGTATAAACTCTTGTCAGCGTGAGGTGAGGGATGAAAAATCCTTAATGTAAGATGGAGCAAAGAATATTCCTGTCTGTGTATCATATGGTGTGATGAAGATAGAGGATAAAGGGAGTTTCCTTAGTGGTGGAGGCAGAGTAGGAAAGAGGTTCTTAAAATGAAAAATAAGGAAAGCCATTTCTCTGTTCACATCTCCTTCACATGATCTTCCAAACTCACCCCCCCCCCCCCCCCCAAAAAAGGGGGG